AAAATTCTTTTTTATCTTGTTCTTTTATATTTATTATATATTCGTCCTAGTTGTCCTAGTAAAAAGTAATAATCTAGGGAAAATAAATTTTATCTACTCATGATACATTTATACTATATATAATGATATATACGTTTATATATATATAATATATACTATGTATACCTATAGATAAAAAAAGAAAAAAAAGTAAGAAGATTGGAAATTTACTAGGACAACTAGGACAACTAGGACGGGTATTCTAAAACTCTTTTGTTTGGCTTGAAATTACCGTCAGGTATATTTTTTTCCATCCTAGTTTATGTCCTAGAAAAAAATTCGTCCCAGTTGGAACTTCGAAAAATATAGGTATTCTGTATACTACACACACATATATTAATTTTCGGTGACACTTGGCCATACTAAGATATCATATATATACTTACTATGTATTTTTTATAACACTATTTTGTACCATCTTCTTAAGCTTCTCCTGATGATAGTGGTCCTGAGAATGATACTTACTAGCATGAGTTCTGCATGCTCCATATATCGAAGATGTTAACTTAACACAACCATATTCTTTACATGATATGCGAGTAGGAGAATCCCAGTAAATTATACACTCCTCGGGTTGATAGCAACCTCGATTACATACTTTCCCACTTCTAAGAATATAAGGACAACAGTAAAATCTCATATCTAAAGTTTAGCTAATACGTTTTTTAAGTAGTATATATTGTCTAATACTAATTTTCTAAAATAATTAATTTTTATTTTGAACTTTTCTCTAACCGCTATTATAGTTTCAAATAATAACGTAATATGACTACCCAAAATATTCAAAATTTCCAGGAAACCATCGATCACATATCAGCAGAAGTGGAAGTACCACCTCGACCAGATAGCCCAGAAAACTTAGAGAATTTCGAGCTGGAGATAGAGATAGAGGAAGGCTCTTCAAGCCATGACCCTAAAGGGTCGCTTTTTCGGACCTGCTTTGCAATAGAAAATAGCAGGGCGTTGTACTACCGGGGCAAAGCTTTCCCTCAATCACATATTTCAGAAAGTAAAAAAGTAAGCGAAGTATATCGATACTATGGGAGAGATTATTTACCAGTCCATCCAAGTCACAATATGATAATTATAGAAAATGATGACTATGGATCAACAGCAACTATTAAACGGGCTTTAGTCAATAGAGAAGATATACCTTTTATGCCAATTGACATTGAAGAATATAATGAATATATAAATAATACCCCTCATTACGTTTTACGTATTTATGGTTATCTCGTTGATGGTCAAAAAGCTGTAGTAACTATTTCCGGTATAAAAGTTTTTTTTGATATTCGCGTTCCCGATAATAAAAATATTGACATATTTGAGATCGAAATAAAAAACATTCTTGCTAATGGAAAAGATGAAAAGGAGGTCGTAGATATAACCAATCTCCAGACAGAACATATAAAAGCATTTCCAATCAGTAGATATTATAAAGAACCAAAACCTCATATTTGCATCATTACAACTGATATTAAGCAAAGATCAATCGCTCTTGCAATTATTTTAAATCACAATTTAGAAATCGCCGACAAGCACAAACTGGAAACCGTCTCAGATGATTTGAGAGCATATTACCAAAAAGTTGCTCGAGAATATAGGATACCACTCTCTGGATAGGCTTTATTAACCAAATATGAATATAATAATGGCAGGATGCCTTATAGTGCTCATTCTCTACTTTGTGAACACGCTTTCTATGTATCTATTAATAATTATCATTTTGTAGAGGATCCTATAGTATTGTATAAGGCTTATCCATCTTCACTCATTACTTATGATCGAGCACTAGTTCTTACCTGGAATATAGAAACATATACAACGCTTGAATTAGACCATGTCCCTATGGCAAGATATAAAGAAGATAATATATTTATGATTTGTATGACTGTTCACTAGAAAGATAATCCAAAACCATTGAAACAGATTTGTCTCATTGATATGGAAACTGCACCAGATCCAAATTGAATAACGATTATTTGTGGAAATGAAAAAAATCTATTAAAAGCATTTGCTTTATGCTGGCAATTATTAGCTCCTGATATCGAACTTACATATAATGGATCTAAATATGACTGGCCATTCATAGTAGAAAGAGCTACTCAGTGGAAAATCTTAGATTGGATGTTAACAAAAATCCACGTAAAAAGACTACAATTAATAGTATTATTCGTTGGAATTACTATGGAGAGATAGGCGAACCTTTCTATAAAGATTTCATTCATAAGGAAAAAACATGAGAAGTAAAATCGGAAGGGAAAAAAGAAAAAGATAATCATAATATCAAAGATAAAAAAATAAAGAATCGGGAAGGAATAGAAATTAAAATTACTCCCAAAAAAACGTTTACATCCACCTTTCTTAAAATTTCCGGATGTGTTTCGATTGATGTGATAGTATGTTGTAAAAAACTTCATCCGGATTCTGAGATAAATACACTTAATCATTACTTAAAAATCAATGGTCTCGAAAGTAAAATAGATTTATCTATAAAGAATATGAGAATATATTATGAGCAAAGCAAAATCTCTACTACAACTAAAACTACTAAATATATGCATAAAATTGCGGAATACTGTATTGTGGATGCTAAATCTTCTCAGCGACTTATAGTTGAGAAAAATATGATAAATGACTATAGGGGTGTTGCATCTATTGCTTATATATCTTTATTCGATTCACATTATTATGCTATAGGTATGAAGGTATGTAATCTCTTGGGTGCTGAAGCATGGAAGCGAAATATTCTAGTTACCATGATAACGAAAAAAACTGAAGAAAGATCATTCTCAGGAGCTTATGTGTACCCTCCAGATAAAGGCCTTGAAGGTAAATGTCCAGTTACAGGTTTGGATTTTGCATCTTTGTATCCAAGTCTTATTATGACTTATAATTTATTACCAGAAAAAATGGTATATATATTAACTGAAGCAAATGCACTAAAGAAAGAAAACAAAGTACTTTATACAATTGAGTTTGGTGGAACCATTTATACATAGAGCATACGACATGAAAACAAATCCAACCAAAAAAGCTTATATCCATCTCTATTAGAATATTTACTTAATAAGCGAAATGAGATGAAGACCCAATTGAAACCCCATGGAAAGAAAATAGAACATATGGGACTTGTGAAAAGTAAAATAAATTTTGAAGTTAGTTCGATAGTAACTGTAGAAACCATTAAAGGTATTCTGGAGGATATAAAAGATAAAAAGAAATGCCTAGATGTAGCCAAAACCCTAAATAATTTTATTGGAACACCTTATAAGAATTTTATAGAAGAATATGATTCGATTTATTTTGACTTCAGCTACTTAGATTCAAAGCAGAAAGCATTAAAAGTGTATATGAATTCATTTTATAGTGAAACAGGTAATAGTCTCTCACCTTTTTATATATGCCAGCTTGCTGGTGGCATTACATCAGCAGGGCAGTATAATATTAAGCTTGTTGCAGAATACGTGAAAAAGAAAGGTTTTGAAATTAAGTATGATGATACAGACTCTTTGTATCTTAAATTCCCAAATAATTATTATAAAGAATGTGATCTCACTTATAATAATGGCAAAGATACAATTTCAAAGTTAGAGTATTGGACGGAAATAGTTGAAATTACTATAAAGGTAATGGAAAGACTATGTAATAAGATAAATTCATTTCTTAGATTAAAAAGCAGATCAGTTTACCTAAAAATGGCATATGAGGAGATATTATTTCCCGTCTGTTTTACTAGTAAGAAGAAGTATTTTGGTATAGCACACAAGGAAGCTATGAACTTCAAACCAGATGAACTTTTCATCAAAGGGATTGATACTATAAAACAAGATAAGTCCCAACTTTTTAGAACTATAGGAGATTGAATCATGTGGGGAGTTATGGATATCAATAATATACATTTACTTTATTAGATTGTTGAAGATGTTCTTAAAGAGGCCATATCCAATCCTAAGCAATGGGATTTCGAGCAGTTTATAGAGACAGCTGTGTGGAAACCTGATAAAAATAATATACGTGTTCAACGCTTTATAAAACAGATGAGAAAAGAATACGAAAATGAGATTCCGGATCCAGGAGAACACTTTAGCTATGTAATGATCCATCCAGATTCACTCTTTGGTTTATCTAGTAAAAAGCTTATACTGAAAAAGAGTGATCAAATGGAATTTGTGGATGTTGCAAAAGAATTAAATAAAGAATTGGATCTATCTCATTACTTTGAAAATACTATTACTGCACTTTGTGCCCGATTCATAATGTATGATAAAAGATATAAACCACCATCTATCGACAAGATTATGCAAATTTCTGACTTGGATGAGAAGTATAAACAGATTGATATTTATGCTCAAAATAAGGCCAAAAAGTGGCTTGAGTCATATATTAAGGAGATAAATGTGAAAAACGGAATCGATTCTAAAAAGATATCTAATCATGGATATGCCTACAGACGTGTTTATAAGTAAGCGCAAGATATATTATATCAGAAAATGGGTAATATATATGAAATATATTATGGAGATTGGTTAAGCTTTGAAGACTTTAAGGTAGGTGACCCTGTTTCGAGATTATGGGAGAGATTCATAGAGTATGCTAAAGCATATACTAAAAATAATAATCTCAGTAAATACTGAGATAAGAGAATCTATATGCTCCGATTTTACAAAACACATAAATACACTTATTCCAATTATCAAAAAATATGATGCCTCTTTTCATCAATTAGTATACCACATGTGATATAAAGAACATGTATCAAACCCAGATAAAATTGGCCCACCCGAAACTATGAGAAAAAATGAGATAGTTGTTGAGCAATCTATTATATCCAATATAACGAAAGCTGATCAACTGGTACTCGACAGTTTTCTAAATATATGGTATAAGGCAGTCAACTCAATATAAATATAACACAATATCTATGAGGCTATACAATAAATATTTTTTCATACATAAATAATATCCAAGCTTAAATAGACAGCCTGTTACCTGATCCACATATCCCGCAATCGATTACTTTTTTTATGACTCTTTATTTTAAAGAAATGGTGAATCGGAGATTCGAGACTTTGTCTCTTTTTTGAGCCTAGAGTCGCTTCTTCGGGCCTGCAGAGCACTGGCGCTTCAAGCCTACCTATATTTCATATACATCTCACGAACCACATAACCGTGATAATCAACAAAATAAGAAAAATATATGCTGATAGCAGTGATATCAAAGTGCTTGCCACAGCAGGAAGAGGCAAAGCCTCAGGACCAGGCCTCATCTGAGAATTCGATTCAATTAAAGCGGATATATTATTATCCGGTTGTATAAGGTGTGGAGTTATATTTTCAGATATAATCTGTGATATATTGAGTTTTATCGATATATCTAGTATATCATCCTTGTTAATTTCACTAATGCTAGTTCTATCCTTTACTTCAGAATTAACC